CTAGGTGTGGAAAGGGGAAGAGGGCGTAATTAGCACAAGAAGGTTAATCAAGGAGGTCAGCCGTCAAGCTTGGAGATTTTAGAAGGCTCAGGGTAACCAGAAGGGACCCCTTTGTCATATTTTTATTTATTTCCTGTCTTATGAGTATACTGGAAAAATCAAGGAGTAATGTTTAGTGTTCGGATTGTGGTTGCCCAAGTGTTTAGGGACTTTCGTTTAAAATTCTTAGTTATTATCAGTTTGATTTTAAAAACGTGATTTGGGTTGCTCCAGAGTAACTGGTTTTTGGGTTGAGTTACGGTTTGGTTTTTCAAAAGTATCAGGTCGTTTCATTTTGGTATCAAAGCCTGGTTTTCCTTTGTTTCTTGGTGTCCAAGGTATGCTGGAGTGAAGATCTAGGTTTTCAAAAGATTATGTTTTTAAAGGAAAAGAGGAATTTCAAGAAAAAGGGTTGGCCAACCGATTTGAAAATGCTTATAGAGTCCCCAGTATACTCAAGCATGATTAGACAAATAAATGTGGTTCTAATAAAGGTACTACTTGCTTGCAGAGCAACTAACGCACCTGTCAATCAAGCAGCAGCAAGGCAACCCCCGGATTACATAGCTTTCCGGAGGAGAGAATTAGTAGACTTTGACGGGGACCGTTCGACGGATGCAAGTGAGGTGGAGAAATGGCTGGCAAATGTGACGCGCACATTGATCGAAATGAGGGAAGATTATGAGGATAGGGTACTACTGATGGTATCCCTACCGCAAGATGCAACATACAATTGGTGGACCACCCAACCAGCCAGCCGAGTGGACCCACTGGCCATCACTTGGCCAGAGCTAGTGCGGATATTTCGCGTTCATTTTGTAACCGAGGCCTACCATCTTGACAAGTAGAGGGAGTTCATATTGATCAAGCAGAGGTGGGGAAATGAAGGCAAGGAGTTTATTGCATAGTACTTTTCGCGGTTCGAGAGACTACTGCTCTACGAAGGACCCCAATTCCAAAGGGAGGTGGCCTAGCGTGTCCACTATTTAGAGAGTCTGAAGCCTGCCCTTAAGAAGCAGTTGAGTATGCTGATGTGAAACAACAGGGAGGAAATTTATCAGGCGACTCTCCGGATAGAGAGGGCTGAGGCGACCTCAGGTGAGGAAGGGATGCAATGAGAGGGTAGTAAGAGGAAGGTGAGTATCATGCATGAGGGAGCTGGTCAGTCTAGTCAGTTCAGGAGGAGGCCGAGTGGCACCTTTACATTTGGGGGTACTCAGAGCCAGAGCGGCTCGGTTCGATCCAGTCAGACTTTCAGCAATAGGGTTCCCTGCAACCAGTGCGGGCGAGACTAGTCAAGGGTGTGCAAGCAACACTTAGGAGTCTGCTACTACTGCAACGAGCCGGGTCATTTTGTCAGAGAATGCCACAAGAGAGACGGGCAAGGGAGAGTGCAGACTGAACAGTCGGTCAGAGGTGGAAGAGGGAGGAGTCACACGGGACCTCAGTTTGGCAGCCAGCCAAACTGCTCATTCAACAGCTAGAGAGGAGGTACTAGGCGGTTCGACCGTAATGATCGCGATGGAGACCAGAGTCCTCTAGCAGGGGGGACAGCCGAGACTCTTTGCCATGAGGAGAGAGGAGGCAGCGGCCGAGGTGGTGATGGTTATGATTTCCATTTACTAGTACCCCGCTTATGTCCTTATTGATTCTGGTTGCACGCATTCTTTCGTCTTCACCAAGTTTGCAAGAACGTTAGAATTACTTCACGTTAAGTTAGGTCAGAATATAGGGGGTAAGTACCCCAGTAGGTGATAGTTTAATCATAAACTCGATAATCCCCGATTGTTTGATTACGGTAGCAAGACATGATTTCAAAGCTGACCTGATTTTGCTTTCCATTGGCAGTTCGACGTGGTTTTGGGCATGGACTGGTTGTCCAAGAACCGGGCAAAGGTGGATTGCTGTAGGAAGGAAGTCAGTCTTGAAATCGAAGCAAGGGCACAACCCTGTTCAAAGGGACGAGGAAATTAATTCATGGGGGCCTAATTCTTATAGTAAAGGCCTTCGCACTAATCCAGGAGGGATGTGAAGCTTATTTGTGCCATGTGAAGGTCACGCGGGAGAAGAAGTTGGAAGAGGTTCCGGTTGTGAGGGAGTATCCCGAATTGTTTCCTGAGGACCTTCCTGGATTACCGGCAAAAAGGGAGGTGGAGTTTGATATTGAAGTGACCCCAGGCACAACACCTATATCTATTCCCCCTTACTGGATAACACCGGTGGAATTGAAGGAACATTTGCAAGAACTGAGGGCTTCATACGTCCTAGTGTGTCGCCCTGGGGAGCACTAGTATTGTTCGTAAAGAAGAAGGATGGCACAATGAGATTGTGCATTGACTACGGAAAACTGAATAAGGCCACTATAAAAAACCGCTATCCTCTACCAATGATAGACGACCTCTTCTATCAGCTTCAAGGAGCAGAGGTGTTCTCAAAGATCGATTTGAGGTCTACCTGCCATCAACGGAGTGTGGCAGACGGTCTCGTTCCTAAGACCTCTTTCCGTATTCGTATGGTCACTACGATTTTTTGGTTATGCCGTTTAGGCTGACCAATGGGCCAGCAACCTTCGTGGCCTTGTTGAACCGAGTCCTCCATGAATATCTGGACAAGTTCGTCATTGTCTTCATCGACGACATCCTAATTTACTCTAAGAGTCAGGAGGAGCATGATAGGCAATTGAGGTTGGCCCTTTAGAGGTTGAAAGAGGAGAAACTATTTGCCAAGTTCTCCAAGGGTGAGTTTTGTCTAGAAGAAGTCTTGTTTTGGGACATGTCGTCTCTGGGCGAGGAGTAGAGGTTGATCCCAAGAATATCGAGGCGGTGAAAAATTGGGTTCAGCCTAAGAACGTTTCTAAAGTTCAAATCTTCCTGGGTTTAGCAGGGTATTACCGGAGGTTTGTGGAGGGTTTCTCCAGCATTGCAAGGCCTATGACACAATTGCTACAGAAGGGAGGTCATTTGTCAGGGATGAGAAGTGTCAAGCAGCTTTTAAGCTATTGAAGGAAAAGCTAACCTCTCCACCAGTGTTAGCACTACCAACCAACGGTGGGGAGTATTCAATCTATAATGATGATTCTTACCAAGGCTTGGGTTGTGTACTGATGCAGAATAAGAAGGTGATCGCCTATGCTTCGAGACAACTACGACAACACGAGGTGAAATATCCCACCCATGACTTGGAGTTGGCATCAGTTGTTTTTTCCTTGAAGTTATGGAGGCATTATCTCTAAGACGAGAATTTCACCATCTTCACTGATCATAAGAGCCTTCAACACTTGACCGATCAGAAGGAGCTAAACAGGAGGAAAAGGAGGTGGATAGAGCTTCTTAGCGACTATGACTGCACCATCAAGTATCACCCCGGTTAGGCTAATATGGTGGCCGATGCTCTAAGCCTGAGGGGGAGAGAGAGAGAGTCTCCTACTGGAGTTGGTCTCTTTGAGGGCCATGAAAGTGAAATTGGAGTTGGAAGAGGCAACAAAGTTATTGGCAACTCTAAAGGAGAAGCAGGGTGGTGATGTGGAGTTCGAGAAATAGCGGAAACAAGCGCTAGAGGGAAAAGACACTAAGTTTGGGATAGTGGATGGAGTATTGATGTTCCGGGGAAGGCTTTGCTTACCTAATGTTGACAAGTTGAGGGAAGATATACTGGATGAGGCTCATTCTGCTCCCTACGCGATGCATCCTGGGGCGACCAAGATGTATCTTACCCTCAATAAACATTATTGGTGGCCCAGTATGAAGAAGGGGGTCGCGGAGCACGTTTACCAATGCTTGGAGTGTCAAATGATTAAAGCTGAGCATCAATCCCCAGTCATCGAACACTTACCATTGGAGATTTGACAGTGGATATGGGAGAAGGTCACTATGGATTTCGTATATGGTTTTCTGAGGACCCCGAGGGGGAATGACGGTGTTTGGGTGATTGTTGATCGCTTCTCGAAGTTGGCCCATTTTATACCCATCAGGTTCAAGCGAGGGATGGAGGAGTTGGCAAGGTTATATGTGAGGGAAATTTTCAGACATCATGGAGTGCTGCTTAGTATCGTTTCTAATCGTGATCCTAGCTTCACGTCACAATTCTGGGTCAGTCTCTAGAAAGCCATGGTCACCAATGTGCATTTCTCTACTGCATACCACCCCCAGATCAATGGGAAGTCAGAGAGAATGATCCTGACACTTGAGGACTTATTGAGAGTTTGCGTTCTAACTATGGAAGGAGCTTGGGAGGATCACCTACGTATTATGGAGTTTGTTTATAATAATCAGTATCATAGCTCGATACAGGCAGCTCCAAATGAGGTTTTGTATTGGAGAAAATGTCGCACTCCGTTGCATTGGGATACTGAAGGAGTGAGGCAGTTGGAGGGCCCCGAGATGATGCAAAAGGCCGTAGAAAAGATAGAAGCAATCTGTAAGAACTGGAAGGAGGCTCAGGACCGACATAAGAGTAATGTCGAGAGGCTTGGAGTTCCTCGTCAATATGAATTTGGTGATAGAGTTTTTCTAAGGGTGTCTCCTTGGAAGGGAGTGATGAGGTTTGGTAAGAAGGGAAAGTTTAGCCTAGGTACATTGGGCCATACGAGGTGCTGGAGCGCATTGGACCCTTAGCCTATCGGCTAGCGATACCTCCTGGCCTATCGAGGGTCCACGACGTCTTCCATGTCAACATGCTAAGGGATATCCAACTATGTAATCCCGACCATGTAATCCGGCATGAGGATATCCAACTAGAGGATGCCTTGACCTATGAGGAGGTACCAGTTCAGATTCTGGATAGATAGGTGAAGGGGTTGAGAGGAAGATCACCATGGTAAGGGTGATATGGAGGAACCAGGGTAGCAAGGCTGCCACTTGGGAGACATAGAGTAGCATGAGAGAGAAGTACCATGTGTTATTTGAGTGAGGGACCTATGTAATACTACCGGTAGGGAAGTGACGGATTCTTCCTATTTCTCAATGATATCCCACGATCAAGACAATTGGCTGAATCCCGTGAAACCATTTCATAGAAGTTCATTGATATCTTCTTTTTATAAAGCAAGTCGACTTCGATTCTTGAATAATCTACATCACTTCTGTTTCTAATGTAACAAAAGATTCCCTTTTTATGTGGAAAAGTCTTCACCTTGTTTCTTCTGCTATAAATTTAGAGTTCAAAATTTTATTAAGGGGGAGGGAAATGTTATATCCTAGCCGAGAAATTTCAGTCGCACACCATAAGTTTGAGTTCCAGTAGTTTTCTCTGTATTTCCTATCTTACAGTTCCAACTTTGGGGATGAAAGCGAGAACGGCTTTCATGTAAGATAGGAATGTTCTAATAATGTGTTAGTAAGGATTTGCTTAGGCAAAGACTTTAGGAAGTAACGACGAGACTGACCCCTTCTCACTCACCAGGTGTAGAAAGGGAAAGAGGACGTAACCAGCACGAGGAGGTTAGTCAAGGAGGTCAACCGCGTCAAGCTTGAAGATGTCAGAAGGATCAGGGTAATTAGACGGGACCCCTTTATCATATATATCTTTAGTTCGTGTCTTATGAGTATATTGCGAAACTTAAGCAGTTTATTTTCAGTGTTCGGATTGTGGTTGCCCAAATGTTTAGGGCCTTTCGTTTGAAATTTTTAGTTATTGTCTGTTTGATTTTAAAAACGTGATTTGGGTTGCTCCAAAGTAACCGTTTTTTGGTTTGAGTTACGGTTTGGTTTTTCAAAAATATCGGGTCGTTCATATGTTGAGGAGGATAATAGGTAGATATATTTGGAAATACATGAATAGAGGGGTTCCATTGCACCCCATGGATTTGGACTTGGAAGAATAATAGGTAGATATATTTGGAAATGCAACCCGGATAAAAATAGAAAAAGGGAGACAATTGCGCCCCTTGCTAAGTTTCTCTGGATTAGCGTGAGAAAAACTAATATTTTTTACCAACTCAAATTAAAGACTAATATTTTTTATGGAAATATCTAGAATAAAATAATGAGCAAACAGTTAAACAACCCCTACCTATTAAATTGTAATTCTCTCGTTGCCTATTCTTACTGGCATAAAGAATCTCATTACTTGAAGTTTGTTGAATGAGTGATGATATCATAATTTCTTTTATGATATGATGCATTATAAATACCTCAATAAGATCTTCGTTTGGTGCAGTCATCAGTCCAGAAGTAGCTAAAGGTGTAATAGCTGCAGTAGAAGTAGCTAAATGTACCCTCTCGGTCCAGCCATACACGAGTTGATGTGGCGTAGCGGCGAAAGGAATTGATCTTCATGCGTAGTTGTGCTGTAAGGAAAAATGGAAGTCTTCATGTCTTTTCTTTTTCTCTTGGCGATTACTATTATTGGGGCTCTCAGCATCAAGTACCTTCTTAAGATGAAGTTGAATGGCTCTCATTTCATCAATTAGTTTGGTATTCTGACAAAGGCAGTGTTGGAGGGTTCAACCAAGAAATGTCCTGCATGAAGCAATATTGGTATGCGGTATTTAGCTATATGATACGCTTGAGCCACAGTTAAACCACAGTTTCAGCATAAAATGCCCTATCACTGACTTTTATAGTACAAACCTCTGGTACCATTTTTCAATTCTTCAAAAACACATCACAAGTCATTGTAAAACTATAATAAACATAATAGTAAATTTAAGTCGGACCCCCTTGTATAAAATCTAGGTCCTGAATACGCCATTGAGCACTTGGTTCCCCTTTGTTTAATTGCCTTGATGTTTTTCTTTTGTTTTTGAAATCGATAGGACAATAAAGAGAGAAATGGACCAAGGAAATTCAACATACTGAAATTGACGAATCCCTCCTTAATAAGGAGAATACACTTAGATATGGAGGGAAAAAAGGAGGAGCGCACATGCCTGCCGTCAATCTGCCGCTAAGAAAAAGTGCACCATATGAAAACATTCCTTCTCCTACATGAAAGTTGATTCAATTGTGTCTGTCCATCATAAGAAAAATGACGACGATTTGACCTGCCGCTAACTCGCCACTGACACCGCCGCGCCTTTTCTTTTCCTTACACGAAGTAGGACTCAAAAGAGTTCAAATTTGAGAAGGAAACATGTGGCGGTACTACACACCTGTCCCTCTCCTATAAAAGAGAAGGCACCCCAACTTCCTTTTCCTTACATCAACTTACAAAGATCAATGCATCCAAAGCAAAAAGTTTGTGATCAACTCGTGGGAGATCCATTCCAAGGAGATTTTCAAGGAAGGAGGAGTTGTGAAGACTAATCCTTGTGAGATGGTGGAGGAGAAAGAAGGAGCATCAATGAAAGTAATCAAGAGGGAGTAGCCATCCAAGAAGAGAAGAAGACGTTGAAGAACACAATGGATTCACCTCATGAAAATAATGAGGAAAAAGAAGACGACACAACCTCAGCGAAGGATCTGAACATCTTTAAAGAAGCCTCTCTATATGAGGATTCCTTACATGCAACATATTATCACTACAATGAAGACTTAGTATCGGGAGAAAAGTTAAAAGAAGCCCCACCAACTCAAAATTTGAAGCTAGCACAAAGGGCACTCAAGATAGCCTATATAAGGTCAAAGACGTTGCTAGAAAAGATAGTGCAGATGGATAACGAATTCATACAGCAAACTGAATTCAATTCACATGTCATGGAGCCAGCAACGATAAATGCAACTGGATGGGGTGATGAAGGGACGTCAATAATGGATTGGCTATCCGATGAGGGCATGTTCTTCAATTGTGAGTAACATATATCCCTTTGTTTTGCTTAGGCCATTGAGTAAAATGTCCATTTGTAAGTGTGGGGTCGAATGGGATGTTATGGGTTACTTGATTATGCTTGACACATGATATACTTTTAGTCATTCAAATTCGAAAATACTTTTTTCCATCTAATGACTTTTAGTCTTCCCCTACAAGCACGTTAACTGCTCATCCTACTTTGTATCAAGGGCTAATTCAATTAGAAAATCCAAACTATACTAAAATTGTCATTTGTGTCCTAAACTATTCAATATGACAAATGTGGCACAAAACTCATAGATGCTGACTAGATTTTCTGTAAAATACTAATGGTTAACACTAGTCAGCATTAACGGAAAAATAGTTTGTGCTAGATTTGTCATATCGAATAGTTTAGGACACAAATGATACCTTTTGAATAGTTTGGGATTCCTAGTGGAATTAGCCCTTGAATCAATGATTCTAGGGAATATAAGTTGATATAGGGAGGATAGTATAGTGACTATGAAGGATATGATGGTAAATGAGATAGAATAACATTTGATGTGTTTGGATGTCATGTTGTTGTATCTATTCATGGAATTCTGATTATACAAAAGAGTCTCCCATTTTTAAAAGTTTTTCAAAGAGGCAACTGTACCTTCTAGAAAAGTTCAAAATCTACCTATCAAGACATTCGATATCATTCGAGTTTGCAATGATGTATGTTGAGACATAAAGTGTGGGCTAAACCCAATGTGCGAGGCATCTTTTCATTGAACTAAAATAAGCTTTTGGAATAGATACTAGTTGATCTTTAGTGGGGAAGTCCTAAAGGTGATGCGAGTTCCTCTCTAGTACAAGTAGATTTTTCACCCTTCGAATTGATAGCCAACTTGAGGATGTGTTCTTAAGGGTGAAAATAAAGCTTTCGACATTGCTAATTTCATTAACCATCCACATGAGTTGATTTATAAGAGTTTCTAAGCTCTTGCTCAACCAATAAGGGTAAATTTCAAAAAGAGCTCTCCACTACAAGAAAAATTGAGAAATTTTTTAAATAATAGTTGTTTGCAAGAGAATTTTTTTGTTAATTGTAAAAAAGAGTTTGTGTTTGAATAAGGCAAAAGTGGTTAAGGGCATGTCAAGTTGATAGTAGAAGCATTCATGTTCAAAATAGTTTGTCAAAAGTTTCACCCTTGTGTTTTGAGACTCTAATGCATGGTCAGTTGTGTATCCTTGGATTGGATTGCATAATGTTCTTGCACTTTGATGTCGTTAGAATTCTCTTTTGCTATTGATTCGGGTCCAATCGTACACATTTTGCCCCTCATTTCTTGATAGATTGACTTTGCATTTCATCGTTCCTCGACATATTTCAGGCTAGGTTGTGCTTGTTTTGATACATTTCAGGTCCTAGCACATGTGGAACGGTCGAGGACGAGTACGGGACGATTGGCGGTCAAAAAGCACAAAACCGAAGAAAAGTCCAAAGTCAGACCGTGACAATTACCCGTAGCAGTGAAGCGCAGGCGTCCACGAATTAGCTTCAGTTCACGAGGTGTCCAGGAGGGTTCCGAAGGTTACTAACGACAAGGAAATTCATGGTCTCTAAGACCGTGAACTTTGAGTGCAAACAGTGAACCCTAGAGAGTGAAGGGGTGCGTTTTAATGACGACACTGAGTTCACGGACGCATCAAGTGTTCATGGCCGTGAACTGGAAGGCCGTGAGATCAGCTCGATCTCAGTATAAAGGAGGAGCTGAAAGGAAGAAGGGGAGCTTCATTTTTAGCCCAGCTTTTCATTTTTTAGAATAAAGAGGATTCTAGTAAGAGGTTACGGTTTCTTTTAGAGTGAGAAAGTGCAAATCAAAGGAGGAAGAAAGAGCTTTGTGCTTGTTCCTAGCTAGAGGATTGAAAATTTCTCCATCTCAAGGGTGTCTCAAGCAACAAGGAGGAGAGATCGGCATCACTTCATGGTTCTTTCTTCCCCTTTTGTTGTTTTCTCTTGTTTAGCTATGGAATAGCCTACCTATTCACTTGGGTATTGGGAATCCTAGTCTCTCTATGTGTTAGGATGTAAGATCATGAACCTATTGTGTTGATTGAGTGTTCTATATGATATTTGAGGTATTATTCATGAATGATTGAGTGTGCTAGCTTTAACTCAATATTGGGTAAAATTGACCTAGAGGGTGGAAATCCCCTTTGGGTCCCATAGGAAGCTAAACTTCGTAGCCACTTGGATAACGTCCTTTACGTCGATTTAAGACCAAAATCTCAACTATCGGAGTAGGGTCGTGATCACACCGGGATTGGTCTCTCCGCCTACCGGATTTAGTTCCAAGGGTTTGGTTTGCAATCCTTAGTCGGCTAGTCGAGA